AATTTCTGAAGCAGTCATTTTTTAAATATCATATTTTTTAAATATGTCTACCATATGTGCCTGTCTCAGTAATTTATTTGGGACTAGTTAATAGTACAGCATTACATTGCAAGTAAATTTAATCAGCCTATACTGTTAACAAGAAACCAGTTTTGTTAATAGTGGAATGATCTAATTAATGTGTAGAATAAAAAGCATAAATCAAGGTGCATTTTCCCATTTCCTGACATATGATAACAAATGTCAATACCGTTTAAAATAATATGTACAACAGAGTAAAGTTTGTAGCAATGTGTGTTTAAGGTAATTTGAAATATTCCTTTTACTTTATATGTTATACAATGGTAGAAAAGTATGTTACAGTTGTCTATGTGAGCCTGTGCTTTTACATGGTCCATATTCGAAGTCTCAGCTTTAACTTGTCACTCTTAAACATGTAGTTTTGAGTAGACTAGTACTTAGAACTAGAAGCTCTCAGGAAGGACTTCCTATTTCTCTTGGAACTCTTTGGCTTCCTTCAATGTGTTGGCTTCCTTCAGTATGTTAGCCAAGCTCAGCATATTTTGTAGCCTCCTTGTTTTTCCTGACATATTGTTTCTTCAGGCACTGTGTGAAAAACAGTGTTTGTGTTTCAGGACACATGGGATAACAAGATGAAGAATCTTGTGTTCTTTTGTCCTGGATTTATTACCTTCTTTGTTTAAGGGTTTTCTGACAACATATTGGTGGACATCATCTTTAGAGAGATTGAAAAATTTTCAAGTTCTGCTGGCTCTTTTGCATCTTAACTACAAAGGCACAATAGTACCTGCCAGTCTAGGAATATCTCTTACCTATTTTTTTCTTAAAACAATCTGGTTGAGAATTGAAAACACTCAGATTGAAATCCACAGTCCAACCCCCAATCTACTTGCCCTTTCTTTGGTTCCCCTTGGTCTGTAACAAGAATTCTCTTTTAATCAAAAACAGGTGCAGTTTGCTGTGGGTTGAAACACTTTGCTTCATGAGAAATTCTTGTTTGTTGTTCCCACAACTTATTTGAACCACATCACCCTTCCACTCTTTATCCAGAGCATCAGCAGCTACTTTTGTGGCCAGGTAGCGTCTTATGAAAAGAAAAAGTTCATGTTCCTCATCTGCTTTAATGAGTTTCTGACAGCTGGTGGCTGAAAAACTGCTATTCAGGTTCATCTTGCCTGACACCTATGATGCACCAAGAAAAAGGGTCTGGCTTGTTTTATTTAACACGATGATCACTAGTCCCATCCATTTTCCTGATAATGGCATAAATTTATTTTTTTTTTTATGAAATGAGAAGGACATTCTTAGGGACAATGGAGTAGAAATAAGAGAAAAAGGAAAAGAGTGCATAAGAGGGGTAAATAGGATCAAAGTGCATTATACATATTATATATATATGGATAGAAATTTCATCACAACCATTTACTAGCATGCTAGTCAAAATAATTTGAAATAAAATGAACATGATACCACTATTTGTTCTTTGAACACTGACTAGGTAGAATAGACTAACAACCATAAGACATGGTTGTAGACAGAAGTTTCTGTCCCTACTGATCTTGCAGCCATTCAGGCCCAAATAAACACATAAACTGGTCTCTTAGCTCAGGCTTATTATTAACTAGCTCTTACAACATAAATTAACCCATACTTTTTGTATATGTTTAGCTGCATAGCTTGGTAACTTTTTTCAGTGAGGCATTCTCATCTTGATTCCTCTGCATCTTGATGGTGACTGATCTCTAATTTTCTGCTTCCCACAATTCTCTCACTCTGGTTGCCCCACCTATACTTCCTGCCTGACTATTGGTCAATCAGCATTTTATTAAATTAATACAAGTGGCAAATCCTTACAGTGTACAAGAGCATTATTTCACAGTAGGGTATGTCTGTGCTTCACAACACTATATAAAACACTGAGGTTTTTGTTTTTGTTTTTCAAGACAGGATTTCTCTCTGTAACCCTGGTTGTTCTGAAACTTGCTCTGGCGACCAAGTTGGCCTCAAATTCAGAGCTCCTCTTGTTTCTGTCTCCAAAGTGATGGGATTAAAGGCATGCCTGACTCAAACTGCTATTTTTAATCAACACGTTCTATAGGTTGATGTGCTAGGAACCCCAAGACAGTGTTAAGAAGATTAAAACTGTGGGGTTAAATAACAGCAATTCTGCAACTAAGGGATAATACCTTGTTTAAAATACCTTGAAACAGTTTAGAAGTTCAAATTACAAATTGTATGTGTTTAATATTTTGTATAAACATACTAATTCTATCAATTAAGTGTGAAATTACTAATATAAATGCTAAACTTTATTAAACCACTTTGATCTTGTTGAATTAATTACTTATGTGACTTAAAAATTAACATTTCATAGTTTTATGACTTAATATGAAAAATAGGATTGCTGTCAATATATTGGTATATAAAGACAAAGATTAGCAACTAAAATAATTAAGCATAAAGAAAATTGTATTTGGCATAGAATGAATAAAATTGAGGAATATCCACATAGCAGTTCCATTTAATTATGAAATCTATTTTCATAAAAGTAACATTGCATAATAAAGGTAAGATTAGTAACTTTTCTCCTCACTGAGACAACTTAACGATGGAAGTAACTGAAGGGAGAAATGGTTTAGAATTTCAGACCACCCCTGCAGAAAAGACACAACAGGAGACTGGCTTAGTGGGTGTGGACGGGATCGTGAGGCAGTTTTAATTTATAAACTGTTACATATTCAATTTAGGAAATAAAACGCAGTTAATCCAGATTAATCCAGATCATGACAGGTTAGAAGCAAAGATTTCAGCTCTTAAGGACTTCCCCAGTAACCTATGTTTACCAGCTAAACTGCACACAGGATCTATAATCTCCTAAGGCAGTGCCAAGCTAGAAAGCTTGTGTTCAAACACTGTGTCCAGTCTGTGATGAACATTCCACATCCGAGTAACAGCAGGAGCTAGCAAAATTAGTATATTTGTAATAACTCTGAAATATGGTTTAATGTGAACATCTATGGTGATATTAACTGTGCTCAAATTTGCTTTCTTTTCTTACTCTGCGGGTAGGAAAAATTCAAATGATATGAAATGTATCAGAACAAAGTTTAAAAAGAAATATCACTGATGGATATAGTGGTTTAGTGGATTGATATATGTTTGTAATCATCCTCTGTCAAGTTCTAATATGGGGTTTACACATGAATGAAGCTCAACAAGATGTGATGAAAACTCCATCAAATTCTCATTCGGGGACTATGCATGAATGAAAGCTTAAGAAACATTGTGATAAAAGTATGTTTCGAATAATGAAGACAGGTATTTTATGCCTAAGAACATTTATATAAGTGATGTCTATAGACCTGTGAATATACCCTCTGATTATTGTTTATTCGTCTTTAATATACTGTTAGCTTGTTTAATAGTCTACAGAAAAGATAGACTGGATGACATCTTTTGTGTTGCAAGTACCTCCAAGTGGGTAAGCACTTGAGTTTTATTATATGATAGCATGTGTATTCCAGATCATTATATTACCTGTAAACAGTCTTTCTGCAGGAACAAAGGGATATGATTGAATTTGGGCAACTGTGAGCTGTACACTTGTATGAAATACCAAGATAATGAACACAATAAAAACAACCTTTGAGTTAATGAGTAATATGCTAATGTGGTCCCTTGGATAAGGGAATAAGCCAACTATGAGCTATTACATTTGTTGTAAAACATGTTGCTAAGACTGCTAAATGGGTAGTATTTGAGTGGTGACTATTTCAAAGAAAGGTGTAAATGAGTTGCTTCTTGTAGTATAAAACAAATTTATGGCACTTCAATTTTGTTGTGAAAACCAAGAGTAACTGTCCTCGCCCATAGTAAAATGGCCATTTCAAGCTGCAATTCAAGCTAACAGTTTGCAGAGACTTTAAATTAGTTTCACCTCCTGAATGTGCCTTCTTGACAATCATCCAATCCAGCTTTTCCACAATAGCTCAGGCATGAATGAGAATGTAAAAGCACTATGTCTAGTTCTCTTTCTCTTTAAAACCTAACTTTTCTTTGCTTCCTGCATAAACCAGGGGCCACTCTTTCTCTACATATATCTCTGTTTATAATTCTCATTTTTTTGTCATTTCCCAAATCAAATTAATTTGTATGGAGGTCATCCCTATCATTTTTCTTTCCATTTCCATTCCTGATATAGTATTTATAATTTAGTTCATAAGTATTTATTGCACATTTAATATTAACTAAAATTAATTCACAAACATACCACATATGCTTAAGTAATTGAAACCATCTGAGGCATTTTTCCTTTAATTATTTTAATACATTTTTGCTCTTAAATTGTTGAGTTATTTAATTATAAAACAATAACTCATTTACAAGTAAAAAAAGAATGAAATGAATTTAGAATATTATAGGGCATGAAGGTTTTCATATTTATTCAGACTTAATAACCTAAAGAATTATATTTACTTGAATGAATATTCTTATTTACCCTATGAGCTGATGGTCTGAACAATGGTCTCACTAGTAGATGGGCTCCAAAACCTGCCCCTTTCTACTTAGAAGCAGTTGCTTTTGTGTCATATTAGGGAGAATTATGACATGTTATTCTAAATGTCCAAAAGATACATTTAACAGGGTTACATAGATGGCTTTTTAAGGCAGCTGTTTTCTTTTCCTGGATCTGGTATGATATTTCATGTCTGTAACACCAGCATTCAGAAGAATGAGGAAGGACTGACATTAGCTTTAGGCCAGTCTCCATCACTGTTTCGACCTTGTCTAAAATTAATTACTTTTTCTGAATGATATATTAAAATAGACAGAATCATTCTAGATTATATATACTCCAGAATATTCATCCAAATACAATAAATTTTGATATTAACTTGGAGTTATGATTGATGTTAGGTTAAAAAAAATGTGAATACATTGTGATATATTTTTTTTTTTTTTTGAGACACAGGCCTGTCCACAGTTGGTGTGTTTATTACCCCATATTCTGAAGCGATTCATGACCAGCATTGTGCTTAGGGGCTTTTTTCTTTTTTAAGCAACAGGTAAAAGCATTTCTTTAACATGTTCCTTAAATAGGTAGGAAAGTTCCTACCTGTTTTCTCCCTTCTTGGGGAGCAGCCCCATACTGGCACCCTAGAAGCATTCAGCAAAGCAACCCTTAGCCTCCCCAGCCCCTTTCCTTCTTTCCCAGCAGCTGGGTTGAGGGTGGCACTCCACCGCTCATTTGATCTTCAGGTCCTTCAAGGCTGACTCCAAGCTCTTCACATCCCAGATGCTCATGCCACCATCCATGCCTGTGGTGCAGAACTGCGAGCACTTGGCCTTGCCTCCACTGAGCACTGAGATTTGACTGACACTGTTCTTGTGCAGTGAGTCTAGGCCAGCGCCCGTGGCTGCACCACCCTCAGAGCTGGCCTTCTTGTCCAGGTTCTGGAAGCGTTCACGGGCTGTCAGGCCACGCTGGGAGCTCTGCTTGGGCACGTCCAGCCGACCACCAAAGCTCAATGTCCCCGCAGCACTGTCATAGGTAAACAGCACAGGAAAGCAGTCGTGGCCCGCTGCCACTAGACTATTTTCTGTGATGAAGGTGATGGCCAGGAGTGGCAAGGTTTCCGAGGCCAGGGTTGCAACAGCCATCTTCTTGTCAGCGTCTGCCAGACACACAGTGCTGTCATGGCTGACCCAAGCCACACGGCTCCCATTGGCCGAGAAGCAGACGCCATGCACCCAGCCACAACTGCTGCTCGACTCAAACATCAGCTCCCCAAAGGGCATCTTAGAGCCCCATGGTGTCGGGGCTGGCCGCTCCTCTACCTCCTTGATATAGGCAGAGAAGATCCTGCATTTGAAGTTACAGGAGCCGGCAGCCAGGAGCACGTTGTTGGGGTGCCAGTCAAGGCTGAGGACGGTGGAGTGGATGGGTTTTTTGATGTGCTTGCACACCCACCAGTCATTCTCCTGCTCAAAGTAACAGATGGAGATGACACGGGAGCCACTGCCCACCGCGAACTTGTTCTCATTGGGGGCCCAGCGCACACAGCGGGCAGCTCGGTTGATCCGCAGGATGACCAGTGTGGGTTTCCATGTGCGGCCCTTCAGTGTCCACACATAGGCATTGCGGTCTGTGCCACAGGTCACAATGCGGTTACTCTCAGGGGCCCAGTCGATACCTGTCACCTGCCCGTTGTGCTCCTTAAGCTCGTGAACCTTGTTCCACTTGGCACCACTCTTCTCATAGATGTGTACCTCATGGTTGTTGGGGCAGATGGCGATCTGTGTACGGTCCTTGTTCCAGGCATGGCAGCTGATGGGCTCCACCAGGAAGCTGTGGTAGGCCATAGTCACTTGTCTCCTCGGGGCGCCCCGGCCGCGGACTCTGGACAGTCGACGCGCCGAACCGGCTCTTACATTGTGATATATTAACAGTAATTTCTTTATGGTTATATAAAAATTTGTGATGCTGATCTTAAGGGAATAAGACTGAAGAAATATTTTCTCTTCTGACCTAAAAGGTGATCTTATATAAATTAATTACATAGATAATATAGATAAAATGAAGACAACTAGAACTAATGCAGCCCTGTTAGTGAAGAATAATCGATTCTAATAAATCTTCAGGCTCCATGCTGCTGGCAAGTGGACAGAAAATGTCTACTTCTCTTCATGTTAGGTTACAGTTGATGCTTGAAGCAAAAAAGATATAGTGGCAATAATCATAACAACTTTATAGTATAGAGAGTATAGGCGTTTATCACTAATAGCCTTTCTGAGTTTCAAAATCTTGTAATAATGACAATGTTATAGTAAAGAAAAATATGATTAAGACACAGACATTACTAAGAGTCCTCACTAGGGTTATTCTTGTAGATTCCAGGGAGTTTATCATCAGTATGTTTCTAACTTGTTCCTGAAATGCCCCCCCCCCAATTCCAGTTGTCTCTCCTAGTACTCTCTCCCCTCCCTCCATCCCTCTACCCACCTGATTTCTTTTGTCCCAATCCCCACCTGCTTCCAGTCCACCTGAAAACTATATTCTATTTTACCTTCCCAAGGAGATCTATGTGTCCCCTCTTGATCCCTCCTTCTTACTTCTCTGGATTTGTGGATTGTAGCATGATAGCTCTTTACTTCACAGCTAACATCTACTTATAAGTGAATACCTATCATGTTTGTCCTTGTGGATCTGGGTTATCTTACTCAGGATGATCTTTTTCTTGTTCTAACCATTGGCCTGCAAATTTTATGATGTTTTTTTTTTTTCAAATAGTTGAGTAATACACCATTGAGTAAATGTTTAGCACATTTTCTTTATCAGTTCTTAGGTTGAAGGATATCTAGATTGTCTCTAGTTTCTGGCTATTATGAATAAAGTCACTATGGACATAGTTGAGCAAAGAAAGCATCCTTGTGGTAGAATTAATTTTTCCTTGGGGAAAATGCCAGGAGTAGTATAGCTGGGTCTTGAGGTCAATTAATTCCCAGTTTTCTAAGGAAGCACTGTATTGATTTCCAAAGTGTTTGTGAAAGTTTGCTATTCCACCAGCAATGCTAGAGTGTTCCTGTTGCTCCACATCCTTTCTATCATGGGCTACCACTTCTGTTTTTGATCTTAGCCATTCTAACATGTTTATGTTGGAATCTAAAAAAAATGTTTTAATTTGCTAAGAAAGTTGAACAATTTTACAAGGTATTTCTCAATATTTTGAGATTCTTTTATTGAGAATTCTCTTTTTAGATCTTTATCATATTTTTGATTGTATTATTTGGTTTGCTTGAGTTCCTTACATATTTTGGATATGAACCCTCTATCAGATGTGGAGTTGGTAAACTTGTGGGACTGGCCAACCAATGACTGGTCGAACTCGACTTCTATGCCTGACACTGCCTGGTTGACCAGGAACCACAGGCTGGATAACCCAGACATCTAGGATAGAAACTAACAATTTTTTAAAAAGTCAATAAAATGATTCCTAATGAGATTATGTTATACTCATAGAAAGGAGCCTACCATAATCCTCATCAGAGAGGGCTCATCCAGCAACTTATAGGAACAGATGCAGAGAGCCACAAACATTCAGTAGAACTTGGGGACTCCTGTGGAAGAGTGCGAGGTGTTGTGGAATATTATTTTAAGGTTTGTTACAGTTCTTCCTACTGCTTTTATTTACAATGCAAAAAAGCATGTTCCATTGGTTTGGCTAAATAAAACTAACCTGTGGTTAGGAGGCTGTGCCAGCAACTAGCTGACAGGAAGTGGTAGGGAGGAGTCAGGTGTAGCAAGTGTTCTTAAGTGGGAGCAAAGCAGAAGCTCTGGCAGATTTTTTTTTTTTCTTTTTGAGAAATTCAAGGAAGGAATGAAGGTTAGCTACTTGTGATTCAGCCTCTCTGAGCAAGCAAAATTTCACCTCACCCTTTGAATCCTGGGTTCTATAGAGGGGTAGAGATCTAGATAAAGTTTCCTTTAGTGGCTTTGAGAGGGCCCGTGCATGAGTGAACAGATTTCCTGTGGGCTGCAGCTATTGCAGCCCAACCGCTGCTGCTTAGGACAGCCGTTGTTTAAGGGGAAGTCAATGAATTGAGTGAAAAACAGCAGGGAGGAGCCAAAGGCATTGTGGACACCACAAGAAAACCCACAGAATCAACTAACCTAGGCTTCTAAGACCTTACAGAGACTGAACTGGCAATCAGGGATCCTGCATGTTTCTGACCTATGTCCTCTGCGTATATCCTCCCATTTCTCCTACTGGGTTGTCTCATCCCCAGCCCTGAGGAGCATATGTGCCTAGTCTTCTTGTAACTTGATATGCCTCATGTAGTTGATATCCGTAGGAGGCCTCTTTTTATTTGAAAGGAAATGGAGAAACAGTGGATCTGGGAGAGAGAGAGGAGAGAGGAGAAACTGCAGTCCGGCTGTTATATATGAAAGAAGAATAAACAAATTATTTTAAAGACACTGATAAAAATAATTACAATCTAATATAATAGATAAAATTTTATAAGTGTTCTTATAGTATAAAATATTATAAATCTAATCCGCCAAGGGAAAAAAAAACCTGGTTGATTAATGGCAAACTGAATTAGTAGGGATAGGAATGTCTCCACTGTTCTAATTTAAGCATGAAGCATATTACAGGGTGGTGAGCATCTTGTAATCTATTGAGAAAGGTGAGGAGTAGATGAGTCTGTGCAAAATACCGTAGATCAAGTGCAAGGGCAAACTATCAGCGATCACTCTACTGAAGTAGTTGGATTAATTTGTGTATTAAACTGTCATGTTAAAGAAAAATTGCAAAGTACAGCTGAACTGCCCCTGTTTTTCCCCCAAAGTGGATCAAATCCAATAATACTACAGAGATATCTGTCAATGTGAATAGCATATGTATGAACATGTATAATCCTTGTCAAACATCACAGTACAAATGCTTGTCCAATCACATTCGGCACTAGTGTTACTGCTCAAATTGTAACTTGGGGAGATACAATGCTAGATCTGTGATACATATATACAATGAATGATTCATAGACACTTGTCTGTTCTTGGTTAAAATGTACTACGGCCATGCTTAGGCATTCAGATGTCAACCCAGATTCAGGAGCATAATTCATACCACAATATGTATTCTAATTGATTCCATTAAAGTGAAGACAAATCTTTTATGGATAATTTTCTGACATCTGCACTTAGATGGGGTCATCCATGTGGCTGTAGTAGCTAGTTCCTTTAGAAATTCAGTGTGACCTAAATTAAATCTTTTCCTCTGTTATGTTAAGAAGGCCTAAGTTAATAGCAGAGGGGAAATTAGTAATTACCAGTTAAAAAGAAATAAGCATGTATGAAAAACTATGGCACTCAGAAAAGAAAGTTTTAGATTTACATTATTATTGTTTGTGTTGCCTCAGTGAGTTCTACAAGCTTAAAGCACTTTAAATAATTTCTTGTATTTATATAGCCATCCACTGGCTATTACAGGCTTCATTTGAACCTGTTTCACATCTTTTCATATTATATAACATGATTATATGCATATGCTAATGGAATTATTTTGTTATGAATTCAAATTTCAAAGAATTTAAAGTGGACCAAAATACTAATTATACCTTATAAACTTTTTATTTGTGTTGAGGGGAGGGGACACACATGCCTGAAGTACACGTGGAAGTCATAATGACAACTTTCGGTAATCAGTTTTTCTTCTACCTTTGTGTCCTGGGGATCAAACTCCAGTCTCCCAGCTTGGCAGGAAGGGTTTTTCGCTGCTGAATCATCTTACCTGATGAACTTGAGTATTTGTGGATGCTAGGATAAAATTGTAAACTTTATTATTGCTTTATATCCCAAGTGTCATTCCAATGCTTTCACTTGAAATATATGTTCTGATGGCTTTTAAATCCTTACCTTTTGGACCAGCAGTGCAGTTGCATATATGAACTCAATTAATTGTCACAAACTACACAAAAACTATGTCAGTCAGTCTCAACATGGAGAGGGGAGTGAGACCCCCTCCCCTTATGGGAGACCCCTAAGAGAGCCAACACTTCTTTGCAATGGAGCTATCGGCAATTGGTAGCTGCTCACAGAGGGAAATAGTTTTTCTCTCTTAGTAAAACTATTAAGTTGATCATGCTCCAATGAAACACCATACATTCAAGGGCTTTGGGGACTCACAAATTATTCTTGAAGTGTTTTTTCTTAAAATACACAAAGTAGGGTGGCTAGAGAGGGATGCCTTTGATTTTGTAGAGTATTGTCAAAGAACAACTAAAATAAACCTGGTCTAAAACAAAAACAAAGGAAAAACAACTGAACAAATAAAATAGTTACATATTCTGAGTGGTTAGTACCTTTGAAGACAAAGTTTAAATATGTGTTGGCTTTTTATGATGAGATAAACTGAGCTGTAATGATGAATTTGGGTCATATTATTTAGTAACATATAATAAAATTTCATATCTAGTCAATAAAATTTTATGGATTTTATAGCAGATGGAGGGACAGTTTAGTGCTTATTACAGTTCCCAATTTTTTCTATGCATTTAGGCTTTAGGTTAATAGCATACTAAACAAAAGCATTTCTATTTTTCTTTTACACTTACCAATTCATTATCAGTGGTTTACCCATGTAGGTAAGAACTTAGGTAGAAAAATAGCTGTTATTCTTCCATGATTCTTCTTGAATGTTCAGGCTAAGACAATATAAGAGGTGGTGTTACAAGCATTTATTTATCGGGTGCTGGAGTTGATATATAAGTGACATTGCTCTTAAGCAAATTATAATTTTGCATATCATTACTCGTATCTCTGTTTTCTGCTTCTGCTTCCATAAACTGATAGAGGAAGCCTCTCTGATAGACCCTAAGGGTTTGAAGACACCAGAACATGGCTCTGAACACCAGAACAGAGA